AAAAAAAAGAATCAACTCAGGTACCTGCCCAGGAGAAATAAAAACAAACATCCACGCAAGAGCGAGTGTACAAATGTCACTGCGGCCAAAACAATCCCAAAAAGACAAAAAATAGAAACCACCCACATGTCCATCATCAGCAGACAAATGGATAAACAAACTGTGGTATGTCCACACAAAGGAGTATCACATGGCCATAAGGAGCGAAGCCCTGATACACATTAAAATGTGGACGAACCTCGAAAAATATCATGCAGAGTAAAAGAAAACAAACACAAAAGGCCACACAGTGTATGATCCCATTTCTAGGAAACGTCCAGAAGAGGCAGATCCATAGAGACAGAAGGCAGGTTAGTGGTTGCCAGGGGCTGGGGGAAGGGGAGTCACTGTTAACAGGGATGGGGTTTCCTTCCGGGGTGATGAAATTGTTCTGAAACTACACAGAGGTGGTTGTTTATAACACTGTGAATGTACTAAATACCCCTGAGTTGTATGTGTTAAAAGGCTGAATGGTAGGGGCGCCTGGCTGGCTCAGTCAGAAGAGCATGTGACTCTTAATCTCGGGGTTGTGAGTTTGAGCCCCTTGTTGGGTGTAGAGATTGCATAAATAAATGAATTAAGTAAAAACTTCAAAAAAAAAAAAAAGGGTTCAGGGGCGCCTGGGTGGCTCAGTCAGTTAAGCTGCCGGTTTCGGCTCGAGTCATGATCTCACAGTTCATGGGTTCCAGCCTCACATCAGGCTCTCTGCTGTCAGCGCAGAATCTGTTTTGGATCTTCTGTCTCCCTCTCTCTGACCCTTGCTTGCTTGTGCATGCACATACACACTCTCTCTCTCAAAAGTAAATAAACATAAAAAAAAAAGATTGAACTGTCTATGAATTATATTTCAGTAAAAAAGAGAGAACAGAATATACTGACGTATATCACACACTGTATGATTATGGGCAAAAGTCATTTAGGGAAAAAACACGTGTTATGTGATCCCATGTATATTTTTAAAAAGTACATTCATGTTTATACACGTATGTTAAAAGTCTGGATGTGCAGGGCACCTGGCTGGCTCAGTAGGTGTAGCATGTGACTCTTGACCTTGGGTTTGTGAGTTTGAGCCCCAGTTGGGCCAGGAGTCTACTTAAAAAAAAAAAAAGTGTAGATGTGCATATATCAAAGATATAGTTAATTTGCTGGGAAGGTTAATGAAGAGAAGCTTCTAGGTTTTTTTTAATGTTCACTTGGTTTTGAAGGAGAGAGAGACAGAGCATGAGCAGGGGAGGGGCAAAGAGAGAGAGAGACACAAGAATCTGAAGCAGGCTCCAGGCTCTGAGCTGTCAGCATGGAGCCCAATGTGGGCTCGAACTCAAGGGCCATGAGATCATGACCTGAGCTGAAGCCGAATGCTTAACTGATTGAGTTACCCAGGTGCCCCTGGAGCTTCTAGTTTCTATGTATCTCTAGTGTTTGACATTTTTAAAAAAAGTTTATTTATTTTGAGAGAGAGAGAGAGCATGTGTGTGTGTAAGTGTAGGGGGCAGAAGAGGGGCAGAAGGAGAGGGACAGAATCCAAGCAGGGTCCGTACTCAGCGCAGAACCTGACCTGGGGCCTGATTCCACAAAACTTGAGATCGTGACTTGAGCTGAAATCAAGAGTCGGACACTTAACCCACTGAACCACTCAGGTGCCCCATGGTGTTTGACATTTTTTCCCCCTAAGTTTTTAAACGTTTATTTATCTTTGAGAGCAAGAGAGAGAGAGAATCCCACGCAGGCTCTGCATCGTCAGCACAGAGCCCGACACAGGGCTCGATCCCATGAACTGTGAGATCATGACCTGAGTCGAAATCAACAGTCGGATGCTGAACTGCCTGAGCCACACAAGTGGCCCAGTGTTCGACATTTTAATAAGCATGTATTACTTTTATAAGCAGCAGAACTAACCCAGGTCCTGACACAGGCAGAAGAGGGTTAGGAGGGCAGGTCTGCCTCACCCTTTGCCCAGTATCCCCACCCCCATTCTGAGGCTGGCCCCCACTGAAACTCCTTGCCCCGACCCACATGGACTCACCATGGGATGATTCTGAGCAGTCTTCAGCAGTGACAAGGGAAGCTGTAAGGCAAACAAAGGCACGTGACTTGTCTGTCTGATCAGCACCAAGGAGCCCTGGCCTCTGGGCACGGCTGGGACTCCAGTCCCACAAATCTGCCAGCTCATCACAGCGCTGGGGGTGCGGGAGCATGCATCCCTCACCCCCCGATAGAAGACACGTGCTCCCAACTCTGCCCAACCCCAGGACACACGCTGCCTCCTGGTGTGGTAAAATCTCGAACACTTCCCTCCTGCCCAAGATCAGAGGCAGCAGTCACCTGGTCTTGGGGCTGACCAAGGGCATTTCTTTACAACTCATGTTGCATATATTTACACCCTCGACAGGAAAGGGCTCAGCCCTCCGTGCTTATCAGTAGCATCACAGCACACAGGTCCTACCGCTGGTTGCGTTTTTTACTCAACTGCTGTCTCTGAGATGCATCCATGTGAATAAATGCAGCTCCTTCAACTTCATCCTCAGTGAGGTTGTTGTCACACCCACTCTACAGATGGGGATACTGAGGCTTAGAGACTGAGGACCTTGCTGGGCACTATAGAGCTAGTAAGAGATAGAGCCTGGCTTGACCCCATTTGCTGGAAGGCAGTTCATGCCGAGCGCACACCTCAAAGGGCAGCCAAGCAGCCTTGATTGAAGGTGGCTACGTCTGAGCTAGGTTTTCAGAGAGCACTCCATCAGGTAGGAGGAAGAAACATTCCAGAAAAAAATCTGTCATTACTACAAGTGACGGCAAATAAAAGATGCACTCTTTGAAATATCACCCACACAAAGTTTTCTTTTTTTTTTTAAATTTTTTTTTTCAACGTTTATTCATTTATTTGGGACGGAGAGAGACAGAGCATGAACGGGGGAGGGGCAGAGAGAGAGAGAGAGACACAGAATCGGAAACAGGCTCCAGGCCCTGAGCCATCAGCTCAGAGCCTGACGCAGGGCTCGAACTCACGGACCGCAAGATCGTGACCTGACTGAAGTCGGACGCTTAACCGACTGCGCCACCCAGGCGCCCCCACACAAAGTTTTCAAGATATTAAAAAAAAAAAAATCTGCTCTTCTCATTTTGGGTGCACAAATCACGACCCACATACTAAGGGGCCTGCCTCTTGGTCTCCAGGAGGGTGACCTCGGGTGGCAGTGCTTGGGTCCGGGATTCAATGACAGGCCAGCTGGCAAGACCAGATGAAGGTTCCGGACCGAGGGTCCCACGGATGAGACACTGCCTCAGCACGGGGGATGGGAGCTTCACTGTACCCTGCCCTGGCAGTTTTGGAATCCGAAGTCACCCTGCCCCCCAGAAGCTCTCTGCAGGGGAGTCTCAGCCTGCCCTCACCCTCCCAACGCAGGGCAGCTGCTTCTCCAGGTGGTGGCGACCGGAGGCCAGAAATGGCCCTCAACCCCCACAGGCGGGCCCCAGTGGAAAGACTTGAGCGGGGATTCCCACATCCCATAGACCTTCTCTATGAAGGGCTGCCCAGAGGAGGTCCAGCGCCGGCAGGAAGCCAGGCCCAAGCCCACTTCCTGTATTGGCTTCCTGGAAGGGCAAGAGAAGAAGGGGCCACGTGGAGAAGAGGTGGCTGCTGAGAGGAGGGCGGGCAAGCAGGCTGGGGCCCCAAAGAGACAACCTATACAGCTCCTGTGCCCTCATCTGTGCGATGGTGCCCGGGTGCAGAGAGCCATGGAAAAACAGGAGGCTCCGACTCCCACGTGGGGGCCGCGAGCCTCGGTCGCCTTTTACAGTGGAGAAGCCCCAGGCTTTCCTGGGCAAGCCTGTTATCTTGTGTCCAAAATGGGAACGTGGACCAGGGTGACACGCTCGGGTCTTCCTCCCAGATTACCTGAGGGGGCAGGGCCAGGCTGGCCCTGGAAGGCATAGAAGATGGCGTCAGCACTGAAAGGCAGAGAGAAGTGCAGCCAAGGCCCCTCTAGATGAGGGACCAGCGGCCAGAGCAGGAGGGACCTTCCAGGGACACACAGCAAGATCCTGGTAAAGCCCATGAAAGCAAGCTGATGTCCGTCAGCAGGGGACCCACAGGGGTCCTCCTACGGCATACGCAGCTTCTTTTTAATTTGTTTTATTTTTGGGAAAGCACAAGCCAGGGAGGGTGAGAGAGAGGGGGACAGAGGGTCCGAAGCAGCCTCTGCACTGACAGGCTGACAGCAGCGAGCCAGATGTGGGGCTGGAACTCACGAAACCGTGAGATCCTGACCTGAGCTGACCTCAACTGACTGAGCCACCCAGGTGCCCCGCTTTTTTTTTTTTTTTAAGTTTATTTATTTATTTTTGAGAGAGAGGGAGTGGGAGGGAGAGCGTGAGCGGGGGAGGGGCAGACAGAAAGGAGAGAGAATCCCCATCAGCACAGCGCTCGAACTCCCGGAACTGTGAGATCAGGACCTGAGCCGAAATCAAGAGCCTGACACTTAACTGAGCCACCCAGGCATAGGCTTCTCTGCCGGCGCTGGCCTTTCCCCTGTCCCGGCCACTGGCACCACAGCCCTGGAGAAGCCACGGCTTCCTCGGCTGTCATTGGCAGTGCCCTATTCACAAAGCAGCTGAGAAGGCGTCTGAGACACAGAAGGCACCAAAACCTGCTCCCAACACTCCCCTGCACATCCAGGCCCCAGGCAGGTCACAAGGCCAAGCCAGCTCCAGCCAAACTGGACCATTCGGTTTCTCACAAGCCACACCCATTTGTGCTGTACGACCTTTGTTCCCCAGGTTCCCTCTGCCTGAGCTGTCCTTCCCCAGGCTGGTAGCTGCTCCCATATCACTTCTTAAGGCTCTTGGCCAAGCCCTCATAATAACCTCGTCTAGGGATTGAGATTTCCACCTGGGCCACCCACTGCTGCTTCCATTATAGGACAGAGCCAGTCTCTAATTATCTTGTTTATTATGTCTCCCCGGCTAGACTGGAAAACTCAGAGGGTGTGGACTTTGTCCAGTGCCGAGCTTGGAGCCAGGCACTTGAGAGGGACTCAGTAAATATTTGCTGAACAAATACACAAGAAAATGCACACATCATCCAGGGAGGCAAGCGGTGTGGGTGGAATAACTGCCCCACCCCACAGATAAGAAAAGGCGAGGCTCAGGTGGGGAGGGGTGGCATCGGAACAGTCCCCCCAAGGCTGCAATGGCCGGGAGCAGTGTCCACATCTTGCCATCTTCCAGATCTTTATCCCTAAACTGAGCCGGAGACAGAGGCTAGAGGAAGGGGAAGATCCCTGAGAACCTAAAAGACTCGGTGGGGAAGAAGTTCTTGAAGGTGACCAGGGAGATGGCACAGGGCAGGACACCATTGGGGGAGACCAGGCCATCTGGAGTTGGGAAAGTCAAAAGTTCAGAAAAGAGCCTCCCTTCTTCTAGGCTTTTTCAGAATGTCTGGGGTCTGGTTCTCAGGTCTAAACCAATCTAAGGCTAGACCTGACAGCTTCCTGAGGCTCCCAATTCAGGAAGCTGTCATGGATCCACCCTCCAGACCTCCTGCTTTCGGCCCCACCATGACCACAGGGAACTGGCAGTGTGTCATGCCTTGTCCCTTCGTGAACATTCTTCAGGCTGAAAAAATAAGTCTTTCCACAAGCACTGTTCTAGGCTCAGGCAACAACTTATCAGGGATAAAAGTCAAAGATCCTGCCTCCAGGGAGCTTAACGAGGAAGGAAACTTCCGGTTCCGCCCATGCCCTCAGGTCAATTCTGCCCTCCGGCAGAGAGGAACACACTCCCTTCTCTCAATTCCTGTAACAGCCAGCAGTATTTAGTGCAAGCCTTCCCTAACCCTGAGGGTGACTGGTGCTCATGGGCTAGGCACTCTCCTTAGGAGGCCTGGCTCTTAATTTCTGTGTGGTCCTGCTTCCCTGTCCGCACATTTTAATTTTTTATTTTTTTGAGAAGGAGAGAGAGAGCACGCAAAAAGAGGGGCAGAGGGAGCGAATCCAAAGCAGGCTCCATCCTCAGCTACGGGGCTCCATCCCATAACCCTGGGGTCATGACCTGAGCCAAAATCAAAAGTTGGACGCTCAACAGACTGAGCCACTCAAGTACCCCTACACATTTTTTTTTTTTTTTTTTTTAAAGTAAGCTCTACGCCCAACGCGGGGCCTGAACTCACACCCAGTATCAAGAGTCGCATGCTCTACCAACTGAGCCAGCCAGGCGCACCTCCCTGTCTATACACTGAAGGCACAGGCACTCTCTGGCCTAAGTCCAGAACTTCCAGACGCGAGAGCAGCATGGTTCTGGAGAGGTTTCCGGTCAGGGCCTCAGTTTCTCCTTCAGTGAACTGGGAGGGTGCAGTGATTCCACTCGTGGTTCAAAATGCCCTTTCTCCAGAAACGACACCCTGCGTGATCCAGGGAGAAGGCAAATCTCCTCTATGGGCCTGTTTTTTTCAGCCTGAAAACGAGTGGCACAGAAGACTTGTGCTAACATTCTAAGAACCTTGCAGGTCTTGAAAGTCTCAGAACTGGCTTAATTTGAGAACTCAGATCGGCCCCCTGTCGCTCCACCTTTCCAATATATGAAGTTGTATTAGGTCGGATGCACTTGGAGCCACTCCCTGCCCGAACTCACTCTAAGGCGTTCACCGGACCCTTTGCCGGGTCCCCTCTCTCAGGCCTCGGTTTCCCCATCTGCAAGGTGGGAAGACTGCAGCTAGGCAGACGTATTATGAGTACACGTTCGTCCAATTCTAAATTCCCTGAGAGCGACGTGCTGGGTGCCCTGGGAGACCTCCCTGCCCTCGTCTGCGGCCGGGGGGCAGAATCGAGGCCCTGGCTGCACGCTAGCTCCGCGTCGCCCCTGCCTCAGCGCCCGCCCCGAAGGCGCTCGGCGGCCGCGTCCCCCGCCTCCCGGAGAGACCTCGCAGCCGCGCAGCCCTCACCATGGTGTCGGCGGGGAGCCGGCTAGCCGACCACTTCCGCCGCCGCCGCTCACGCTCCTGCCGGTAGCCGCCCTGCCGCGCGCCACTAAGCTGAAATGAAGTGGCAGCGACGTGAGCCAGTCAGCGCGGGGCTCGAGGGAAGAGCAACCAATCAACGTGGAGTAGGGAGGGGTCGGCTAGACAAGAGGGACAAGGTTGGCTGTGCTCTCGCTGGAGGAATACGAGAAAGGGCCGTAAAGTGTCGACGTGAGTGCTGAAAAAGGGGCGGAGCCACGCGCGCCAGCGCCAGTGGCCTTGTGGGTAAAGGCGCATGCGCAGGTGAAACTCTCGTTGCTCTCCTGGGCTCCGCGCTGTGGGCAAAGCCGGATATTGCCACAATTTGCAAAGGAAGAAATTGAGGCTTCGTGGTTATTGGGTTGTGTCTAATGCCTCCCTTAGGGCTCCTACACTTCAGATTTTAGTTATTTTAGTTGAGCCTCGCCCCAGGCACGTCTTTTGGTAGGTTGGAATCCCGACTGTGCCTCTCTGAGCCTCAGTTGGGTGACCATCAAGGGTTCCTTCCTCTGCTTTGACCTTCAAGCTTCTAAGTGAGCAGTAGGTGCCTTCCTTCAGTGACTACTCTTTTCCAGGTGTCCTGAGTGTCAGCATTGGCATGAGAGCCTTTCTTATCAAGACCAGGGCCAAGTTCTTCCAGCTAAGAAGGCCCTATATTTCCTGGAGCCTGCTTGGGGAGGCCTTGATGATCACATTCTCAATAAAAATTCCCCTGCATCAGGCCTCAGAGACCTGAGCAGAAAAAGATGGGAACACATAGGCCTAGCCACCTCCCACTAAAATCTCCTCTGTAGGACCTGGTGAGGGAGGGAGATCTGGGTGCCCAGCGCTGCTATAAATGAGCTGAGTCAGGCATGTTATTCCCTTTCCCCTCCTCCTTAAAAACCGAAATAATCCTCTCTACCAACCAGGGTTACTGTGTGGCTTGAAAAAATATGGAAGCCACATAAAGTGCCAGGCACCTGGGAGCGCTGAATCAACAGTTGTCCTTCAAGCCTTAGCTTGGGGTCCTTCCACCCCGGGAAACCAACCTTGAAGACTCCAGGGCACAGAGCCTATCAACAGGGTGACCCCAGGAAACCCCTATTGGAGGTGGAGGCTGAGAAAGGGAGGGTAGGATCCTTGCAGGGGGCACCAATGAGTAGTCAATGCAGTAGTCTAGCAACTGGGGGTCAGTCCAGCTGGAGACCTCAAGGAGACAGCATAAAAGCTGGTGTCTTAATAGTGATTCCACCTAGGGTCAGGGCAGCAGCTGGGGTATATACTCAAGCCTTATCTAGCATTGGCTTAGGCCTGGGTGCTGGTGGGGTCTGGGTTGTGTGCAGGACACTGGTAGGTGACTAATAGTGATACGCCACTGGGTTAGAGGGATTAGAATGACAAGCCAAGCCTTGTTTGCCAATGTTAAAAAGGCTGATTAAGGTAAACAACAGAAACTGCGGTACCATGAACTGTCTCGGCATCAGCATGGTGGTGGAAATAGGAAGAAAATCACAGGCTGGTCCACTCCTTTCTGATTTTCCTCGACTTCTGTACTTGGCAGCTTCTTCTTTGGCCCAACTGGCAAACGCCTGTTCATCCTTGAAAACTCTGCTTGGGTGACCCCGTGTGGCAGACTGCAGTCACTGCAGTTGTTGTCGGCCCTTTTTTTTTTTTTTTTTTAATTTTTTTTTTTTTTTCCAACGTTTATTTATTTTTGGGACAGAGAGAGACAGAGCATGAACGGGGGAGGGGCAGAGAGAGAGGGAGACACAGAATCGGAAACAGGCTCCAGGCTCTGTGCCATCAGCCCAGAGCCTGATGCGGGGCTCAAACTCACGGACTGCGAGATCGTGACCTGGCTGAAGTCGGACGCTTAACCGACTGCGCCACCCAGGCGCCCCTGTCGGCCCTTTTAACATAGGGATGGCCAGTCAGAATAGAAGGCTCCATCCCCCTGGCCCATCATGATTGGTTAAAGGAGGAGCATGTGACCAGCCAAGGTTCATTAGGATCTCCCGTGGGAGGGACGCTGAGGCTGGCCAAGAGAGCTCTCCATGGAGGTTGTTGAAAGTGACACAGTTTAAGACTAGGATTGGTTTTCTGGACGATGCTTTCTCTGCATGGAGAATCCAACCTCCACAAGAGCTACTCTGTGGGGAAGGAGGCATGGTGTGAGCCCCTGGATCCAGCTGTACCTGAAGCCATGAAGTGTGACTTTCCACTGAGCCCAGAATGTTGTCCTTTATTGCTTAATTCTCTTGGAGTTTGGACTCGGTCCCCTGCAGTTGGCATAAGGTACACTAATGTATAGGTGCTCTGCGAACATTTCCGTGATAGCCCCCCAAATCTAATCGTCCCTTCTCTTACACTTTGAACTTCAGTAGCTGGCACTGAATCACTACCTGGTCTGTGTCACATTGTCATTGCTTGCTTGCCCACTTAAGCCTTCTCAACTCTGACTTGTAGGCCCCTGTTTACCGCTGTCAGCCAAGTCCCTGCTGTTCATCAAGGACACGTGACCCAGGCTCAACGAATCAGAAGGCACCCCTGGGATGGTTCTGAACCGGCAGAACTGGAGCGGGAGTCAAGTACAGACCTCCCCATCTCGACTTCAGAATCTTGGCCGTATTTAATCCTGGATCCAGCTGTACCTGATGCTTCATAAATCCTCCTCTTTCCTTATCCCTTGAACCAATAATGCAATTTTTTTTTTTCCCGTCTACTTTACATTGTGTTTCTGGGGGCGCCTGGGTGTCTTTGTTGAGTGGTGGACTCTTGATTTCAGCTCAGGTCATGATCCCAGGGTGGGGATCTAGCCCCAAGTTGGGCTCTGTGCTGAGTGTGGAGCCTGCTTGGGATCGTCTCTCTCTCTCTCTCTCTCTCTCTCTCTCTCTCTCTCTCTCTCCCCCTCTGCACCCCACCCCGCAAATAAAAATAAAATAAATATAAGTTGTGTTTCTGACAGCAGAAACCTAAAGAGTAAAGGTCAAGGTACTTGTCAAATTAACAAAAACACTCTACCCTACACTAAAAAAGGGGGGGGGGGCTGAAGAATTGTAAGACCCCATGCTGTCAAAGTGGTGGTGAAACTTGTACACATATATTTCCTTTCGAGTGGGGAAAACATTGGCATTGTTGGCCAATTAGGTCTCAAAATCCACAGACGTGTCGCGTCCTTCAGTAAGCCATTTCCGAAATTTTATACCAAGGAGATCTTGCAAAGGAAGGGAACCACTCTATGCCAAGGCCTTGCAGCAACGTTGCCAATTGTAAAATAACACAAAGAACATCAAGGTCTAACAGCAGTGGACTGGTTGCATAAACTACGGTTCACCCACTAGACGGAATATTTTCCATTCATTAAAAATTATATGTAACCTCACCATCATCACCAAGGGTGGGCTGAGCTCCGTGACTCACTTTCAAAGAACAGAGCAGAGAAAGGGGAAAATAGTGACTTGACGGTGGAGACATGTGACAGTTGCCACACACAGTGGGGTGAATGGCAGGCCCCTAAAGACACGTCCAAGTCCTGACTCCAGAACCTGGGAATGTGACCTTATTTGGAAAAAGAGGCTTCCCCCATTTAATCAAGTTAAGGGTATTGAGATGAGATTGTCAGGGGTTTAGGGTGGAGCCAACACCCAATGACTGATGTCCTTCTAAGAGAAAGGCAGAGGGAGATTTGAGACACAGAGAAAACAGAGGCAGAGTTTGGGGTGATGCAACCATAAGTCGAGGAATCCCCAGGAGCTGGAAGATCCAATGAAGGATCTTCCCTTAGAGTCTCCAGAGGGAAGATGGCCCTAGGGACGCCTTGATTTTGTGCTTCTGGCCTCCTGAACCTTGAGGGAAGGGATTTGCGTTGTTTTAAGCCACCGAATTTGTGGTCATTTGTTATGACAGCCACAGGAGACCCAGATGACACCACTATGAGAAATTGTGTGGATGTTAGGGATCCCTGCTACGATGAGACGAAAGGGGCGTCTCCCCTCTCCGGTCTCCCCCAAACACCCACAGCCCCGTTCTAATCACAACAAGAACATCAAACAGACCCAGATGGAGGGTACCCCACAGGACACGGGCCAGTCTTCCTTAAGACTGCTCAGGTCATGAACAACAAGGAAAGACACATATCCCGTTCTATTAAGGAAAAAAAAAAAAAAAAAAAAAAAAAAAAAAAAAAAAGAAAAGGATTCCCCCTTATTCTGTGTGACCACATTGTCATCCACACTAATGCATGGAAACAATTCTTTACAGATGAAAGTTGGTTTTTCAACAACTCTGAGAAATTAGGTGCGGTACCGAGTCCATTACATCGTATCGATGTCAATTTCTGGTGTGGCAATAGTTTAGTAAGATGGACCATTTTACTGGGTCAAGCTGAGTGAAGGGTCCATGGAAATGCTGTTTTTGCAACTTTATATTAGCCTTCGGCTGCTTCAGAAAGAGAAGTTATAGAAGCTGAGTGACCAAAAGACTCGAAAGCAGCCTGTCGAAGAGATACGTGTATACCCGTGTTCATAGCTGCTGTCTTCGTGACGGCCAAAAGGTGGGAGCAGCCCAAGTGTTCACGGAGGGATGAATGGAGAAACAATGTGGCGTATTCATACAATGGGGTATTATCAGCCTTAAACAGGAAGGAAGTCTGACACACGCCACGGTCACGGAGGAACTTTGAGGACACTGTGCTAACTGAAATAAGCCAGTCACAAAAAGACAAAGGCTGCATGATTGTATTTATATGAGGTCCCTAAAGCAGTCATATTCATAGAGACAGAAAGTAGAATGGTGAGCGCCAGGGGCTGGGGGAGGAGGATGGGGAGTTAGTGTTTCATAGGGACAGAATTTCAGTTTTACAAGATAAAAAGTGTTCTAAGGACCACTCGCAAGAAAGTGTGAATGTACTTTTTAATTTTTTATTTTTTTTAATGATTATTTATTTTTTTTTGGGGGGGGGGGAGAGTCAGAGAGAGAGGGAGAGAGAGAGAATCCCAAGCAGGCTCTGCTCTGTCAGCGCAGAGCCCAAGGAGGGTCTCAAATCCACA